TTCTTTAACGTGCACCCAAATCTGAACACGCGGGCCTACAACATTTCCGCCTCCATCGGAAATGCAGCCGCCACAGCCGGGATTTGAACCCGCGACCTGCGGGTCAGCAGCCGAGTACCTTAGCCACTAGACGACCGCGGCGGGGCATCTTTCTAAAAGTCAAAGCGACCACACGAGCAAGAGCACGAAGTTAATCCTAACGATAACGTATCGGGTGCTCAAGTTTGACGATTGCCTACCAAACTCCGACCACCCGTTGGGCCAAAATGATTTTACATTGATACGTATTCAATACTTTGCTTCTATGTTGTCTTCCTGATGCAGGATGTTGTGACGCGGTCGCGACGCTGACAACAGTCGGCATGTCCAAGGTGAAAGTATTTATTTGGCCGAACTCCGGGAAACAGGAGCTCAAAATACAGCAAGAAATGCACGCTGCTCTATGATATCGGCAAGCGGAGCGTTGATAATCTGATCACCGTGGGAACGCGCAGTCCTTCATACGTCACGCATAAGCCGTATCAATGGTTGTGAGCTTGGCTGTCGTGCGAGCAATCTTAACAAAACGATCTACTACAAGCGCGAAGCTGCTCGCACACACAAGCGCGGTCTGCGCCAAGCATTGCTGACAGTCCTTGTGGCGCGAACCGAATACAGCGACATCGAAACAAGGATGGGGGACGCGCGTACCAATATAATATCCAAAAATGATTTTTACCGAAATTCCTATAGTTATACTGCAATTCAGGGCCTTGAAATAGTTTGCCCCTCTCTCACACACAGACACGTTTTGATTTATTGATAGCGGGTTTTAACGTCCCAAAACCACCATATATGATTATGAGAGACACCGTAGTGGAGGGCACCGGAAATTTTGGACAACCTGGGGTTCTTTAACACGCACCCAAATCTGAGGGCCTACAACAAGTTCCGCCTTCATCGAAAATGCAGCCGCCGCAGCCGGGATTTGATCCCGCGGCCTGCGGGTCACCAGCCCATTACCTTAGCCACTAGAGCCACCGCGGCGGGGCCACGCACAGGTTTCGTTGTGGGACACTATCTTGGTACGCTTTCACTGTGTGCTTTTACGCCTTTGCATTTCACACCCTTGCAACTTTATGTACCAGGGGATCTGCTTTTTCAATTGCGTTATTTTATAAAATAAATATATGCTTGGTGATAGAATATTTTTCTACTTTTACCATTTCAAACCAGCGATACGGTGAGAATTCTGGCTTAATAGTGTTTGCCCGAAACAGCAAATGCTGCAGTAGTTGTAGTAGAAAGAAAAAGAGGTTGTTTAGGGCTAAGCGCTCTTGAAAAAGACCACTGTGAGCAAGGAAATACAGCATAGGATAGTGCTGCCACTGCAAGTACAACAGTGGCATTGGCTTATAAAGTCGACTGAAGTGTTCTCACTTGTTGCAGACGAATCGAATCGTGGAAATGATTGCAATCATTCATTGTCATATTATCTACAGCTATACCTTTTCGTGGTGAAAAAAAAAACAGAAATAGTTTAACCAGCTGCTCGTAGCGGACACTGACGAAACAGGCAAGCTGGTGGCTTACAAAGAAGCATTCACTTCAACAATCATTTAAGCTGGTTGAATGAAGCGGGATTTGAATTAGGTGAGAGTGAAGTGGTTCAATGAGGAGTGGAGTGTGTAGAAGTGGGCGTGAAAGTTGAGAGTAGTGGCTCTTACACCGATCTGCGACAGCCAATTGACCATCAAAGCCTCGACTAAGCAACAACTCGGAGACGACTCGGATGCGAAAACTACTTCTTTTCTTCTCGGTTGATGTATTTATCCCAAGGAAGTTCTATAGAACCTCTGGAGTGGCAGTCCCGACCGCCGCCAATGGGAGCAAGTGAAGCCGCCGGCGGCCATATTGCTAGAGGAAAAACAGGACGGAACCGCCATATAGGCCGCAATGGAATACGCGCGTCGGTTTGCAGTTCCACGATAAAAAAAAAAGTGAGATGGAAACCACTTTTAAGTTAAACCAACAAACAAATGCCTATTCTTGTTTATGAAACAAATTATTTCATGCACCCATTGTCAGCTGCACGCTTTCAGATCAATCTGTTGTCGAGGGATGCTTCGCATATCGAGCTTGCTGGTGCACTATTGCGGCACAAAAAGGGTCGTAATATATATTAGGTGTTTTAAGAAATGCGCCTGCAGATACTCAAGAACAAGGGGAACGCGATATTTGCTCGCCTCTTTCATATATGTGGTTGTGTCGGCAGATTACCAGAGAATAGATATAAGGAAGAAGAATGGCGATTTGGGCTAGTTGGTTTGAATTGACGAGATATTGGTTTGAATTGACGAGAATAAGGGCAGCCCTTATTACTATGAATAGATATAAGGAAGTTTAAATAATTAAAGCTAAAGTTAGAAAAAAAAGAGGTAATTAAGTAAACCGGGAGACACCAGTAATTTTTCTAGAGTTATCGAATTCTAACCAGTTTGCAGGCGGAACCAAAACCGAAGCACTGATGTCGCGTGCAACCGAATAACTCCTGGAGACATACCCCAAATGAACCGTTTATAAGAACGATTGTAGTGGCGTTAGTTATGCATAATATTTATCAACATCCGTTGGCGACGTGTGTTGTCATGGCAAGCGCAGCCTTCAGAGCCTAGAAACGAGGTGGCTCGATGTTTGATATAGCGCCACTCACTGATTTTGGCAACTTAGTCTATCGGCGTTTTGGTTTCGGTTTCATTGGCAAGATCAAACAGATTTCAAAGGTGTCTCATCTTGTTTTAGACGCAATTGCTTATTTTTGTGATTACATTCTATTGAATTAAGCTACATCAAGAAGGTAGCAACTAACATGTTTTTGCAGATGCACTCGGAAAGCAGGAAAAATCCAAGGTGCACTGCCAGGAAGCAGTCTGGTTGTCTGCCCCGTTATGTCGAAGCAGCATTCTTGGTAGTGAATAGAACAGAGGTGGTCCCCGTCCATAGCCCTCCAACTATTTCTTCGAACAGCACGTTCCCAGGCAGAACGCAGTGCGCTGTCTTTCGGAAACCTGTAACAGAGATAATCACGGCATGGAATATTTTCTACGTTTGCGAATTACTCGAAAAACATGCATCGAATTTAATATTCACTCCCCCAAAAAATATGCATGCACGCCGTCAGTCTTGCTTTGTAAGACAACACCAAAAAACTTGGAATTAAAAGGCCATTCAGACGCCCTACCCATTCCAATGTTTGATACGCGCAGCCATGGACCGCAAGTCCTTCGTCCATTAACTTAAAACTAAGGGACAACGTCGTGTCAGCGAGCATTTAAAGCTTGAAGTTACCTTTCATACAGCTATACGCATGCATTACACGCGTGCGCACCTTTGACATTGTTTCTAATTTAACAGAATACGTGAAAAAACAGGCGATCGTCAGCAAACGAAGCGAGAATACTTACACGTGAAAAGTGATCCCAGGCGTCTTCTTGATGCGATCTGTGCACCCATAAGCGACGCACAAAGTCACCATGGCATTGTAAAGTCTTTAACTGCTTTACAAAAGCACGTCACAGCCTCCAAAGGCCACAGCGAGGGCGAAGCTACGAAGCGCACTTAGCCGCCTGCTTTCGAGTTTTTGCTTTTTCCAATATGGCGGCGGCCGGCGTCACTTATCAAGGCGCACCTCCACTCCAGAAGACATATAACCACCTTGATTTATCCTCACCGCGTCCGCATCCGAAAGCTTTCTGCATTTAACGGGATTTTGCACGGAGTGGTTTCAAAGCAAAAATATGTGCAGCGTCTTAACTGTGTCTCACTTTGGTGACCTCCGAAGTGGGAGACAGTTTCGACGGCGCACTTATTTATTCACTTCTTCCTCCGCTTCGAGAATGGTGGGCGTTGCAAGCTTTCTGCACCGCATCTGTTCTTGCACTACTTCCGTGATTGGTCCCCTTTGACTAAGTGACATGTGATGACTACACCACGCGACGCAACGTCGCGTGCCAACGTCGCAGTGACGAAATAATTATGACAACTTTTGACGATATCTGACATCGCATTGCCACGGCAGTCCAGTTCACTTTCGCTTTATTTGGTTCATGCCCGCAAAGACTGTCGGCAATGCTCAACGCAAACTGCGCCTTCAGTGTTCGAGAACCTCCAAGATTGTATTAGACCGTTATGTTGAGATTGCGCGCAAGTCGCTCGAGCTTATCGCAGAGCTTGACCAGTGATAAGAAGTTCGATGCGTGATGTATATTGAACAGCGCGTTCCAACGATGACAAGTTGATCGACGACCAACGCTTTGACCGCCGCTATCGGCGCCAGTGTGTATCGCTGCAATCTGACTTTCCGCTTACCAGTCACAAGTTCGGCCTAATTCCGCGCACAAAACACAGAACAAGAAAGAGACATACTTATTGGCGCTCGTCTACATGTCCCTTTCTTGTTCTGTGTTTCGTGTGTGCTAAAAAAAGTTATAATATGGGTACATAATAACAACTCACCCAGCTATCAGTCTTACTGCGAAACAGTTTCATCTTGGACTATACATTAGTTATTGTGACGTAGGAAAAACATATCATACAGTCTGCTCCCTTCGTCCACGTCACGATATGATGACGTCTTCGCGCGATGATTTTCCGTATCACTCGTGTTGATGGCGCTGACGCGGGACGCCAATGGTCAATATTGATTTCCTACAAGGCACCTAAGACTTTCCCATTAAAAAAGAAGAAATAAAGAAAAGTCGGTGAGCTTATCTCAAAGGTTCACCTAAGAGCATAAAACGATTCTACGCTTACATTTGGTGCCCACCGAACGAGCATCTAAACATGAATGCACACTCGACGAGAGTCAGTCGTGGGGACAGGGAATGATGAGAACTTGCAGAGAAGCATCGTGCTTATGAGAGCAGAACAGCACAACTACTGAACTGCCACGTTTATGTTGCAACGACGACGCGCTAATGTTTAAGGGCGAGTGACGCAAGCGGGTCGCAATTCTCGCGCAGTGGGAAGAAGCGAGACGGGCCCTTCGGTGAGCATCCACGAGCACGACGGCTACATCCGGCCGAGCTGTGCGGGATTCGCGACGGGCGAGTTCCGCTTCGACATGGAGGAGGACCAGCGGCCGCCGATGTGGGTGAGCCGCACCTTTGACACTTGTTAAGTCATTGCTCAAACAGGAGTCTATACCGGCGGCACATGGTGCACTGCCGATCGCGATTAATACCGACAGGCATCAAGTTGAGTGATTGATTTGTGGGGTTTAACGTCCCAAAACCACCATATGATTATGAGAGACGCCGTAGTGGAGGGCGCCGGAAATTTCGACCACCTGGTGTTCTTTAACGTGCACCCAAATATGAGTACACGGGCCTACAACATTTCCGCCTCCATCGGAAATGCAGCCGCCACAGCCGGGATTCGACAGGCATCAAGCTGATTGATTGATTGATATGTGGGGTTTAACGTCCCAAAACTACGATATGATTATGAGAGACGCCGTAGTGGAGGGCTCCGGAAATTTAGACCACCTGGGGTTCTTTAACGTGCACCCAAATCTGAGTACACGGGCCTACAACATTTCCGCCTCCATCGGAAATGCAGCAGGCATCAAGTTTCGCAACAGCAATTGGCTTCCCTTTGAAGGAATGGAGGCATTTGCGCAGAGGCGTAGCGAGAAAGTGGCACCTTTTTAAATTCGAGGGGAGGGGGCCTTAAAATTGTAATTTTTCGCTCTGTTTGTTGTGGCTCAAAATATTTCTAGGGGGGGGGGCAGTATGGCGCCCTTGGTACGCCACTGAATTTGCGTAATAAAAGCCTGAATCGGGATAAACAAATTCGCTTTGAATCAGAACCTATCGCGATCAATGTCGACCGGGTGACACCGGTATCAATTTACTGCATTGAGGCCGACCCACGGTGGTGGCTCAGTGGTTTCGCACCTGCAAAACAGCGCAAGAAACCGAGACACGGAAGGAATAGGCAAGACCAGGACTTAGTTTTGTGTCTTCGCTCTTCACGCTCTTTTTCAGTCATTAAAGCATAACGACAGGCTCGGTCCCAGACAATCTCTGGTCTGGTGCTCCACTGCTGACATGACGGGATCGAATCCCAGCCGCGAAGGCCGAGCTTAGGGTGAGGTGAAATACCAGAGGCCCGTGTATATTTAGATTTAAGTGCGTGCTAAAAAAAAAAAAAGCCCACGTGGTCGAAATTTCAGGCGCCCTACGTCGTTCCTTATAATCATATCGCGGTTTTGAAACGCAATACCCCAGATGTTATTATCAAAATTGGCACTATCAAATGATTTCTCACATGCCGAAGTATTGTCACGCGATTGCGACGATAAAGCAACTATATAGCAGTAGAAGTAGTAGATACTCAGTTACATTATGTGTACAGACAAAACAAACACTCGCAACACAAGCAAGCATTACAAGTAGCACTAAACGCAACGATAGCGACGGTCACGGTGGTCAGTCGCCGGTATCTGATCGTTTAGGAGACACGACAGCTTCATCTGTGGTACTCGCGTTAGTTCGCATGATTGTAAGTCGACTCGAATGTAGCTCGATCCCCTTTCCCCCAGAAGGCACATACGAAAAGAAAAATGAGAGTGCATTTAATTAAGGGCCCTTGTTTACGTGGTCGGTGGACTGACTACACGTTTCCCGACTTCACAGTTAGGAGTTATTGCCCGTCTTATCCCACATTTCTCTGTCCTGTCCTCGTAAAAGTATAGTGCTGGAGTGTTTTTTAGCAGAAATCTATCACTACCTAGCCTCACAACGTAGGTTTGTAAGGTCAAGAAGATGAAGATGACAAAAAGGAACACCATTATCGCTTTGCAAAAACGACTTCTTGGCAATGCTTTGCGGGTTCAGAAAAGCTATAGCTTACGTACGAGCAATATGCTTGGTAAATTTTCCACGAATCGTTGCTGAGACTGTGGGTAGTAGGCGAGAAAAATATGGTATATGTTGCAGGTAGAGCCAGGAACGCGAACGTAACATCGTAACCATACCACACCGTCCCTAAATCCTCGTTTGTCCCACCGTAACTGGTGGAACTAATTTGTTTCGAATGTAACTCGCCCCCCCCCCCTCCTCCCAAATTTGTATTTCAGATTTAGCTAAAATAGGTCGACCGTACAATCGTGTAAATATTGTGCATAGTTAACTCCATCATATGCATCATGCCTACATTTTTATCAAGTGTCCAACACACGAAAAAACTTGAATGCAGTGCGCATATCGATGGCACGAGTCAGGCCTTAAACAGTAAAAGCCGCTCACGCCTGTACCATCACAAGTCAACCACACAACAATGAAAACACTTCGACGCTTTTTTTTTTCCTTTTCCTCAAGTCACTGACATTTACGACGAACCAACGTTACTATAATATCCTAGTAACGTTGGATGCACTACATAAGCCTTGTGGCTGCCCATCGTGCTCATGTGATGCGGAATCGGGCGTACTTTGTTACATTGATGCCTTTTCAACTTGAAATCAGTATTCTCAAAGCTTAACTAGTTTATTTTTTTATTTTATACTAATAACCTAGCAAAAAAAAAAGGTGGCCCTCACAAGAAAATGGCGACGACTTTTGCGTTAACTAATATGTCAATAAAAGAAAGGCGTAATTTTCCTTAAAATTATCAGCCCACATTATTGCGGTGGCCTATTTTTTTTCTAATAAGAGTGGCATACCTGTACCCTATTAGCACGTGGTGCTCATCATAGAAGGTTTATTTAGCCCCACTAAAAGTTCACGGGATGTACTAGTGCACACTGTAGGGTTGGAGCAAGCTCACGACGATTGATACAAGAAAGTTGTACAAAAACGATGTATTTGTCGTGGCCACACGGGAACTCATTTGTACAGTTGGACACTATTAAATTCAAGTTATCCATGAACGATTAGAAAGGCGTGCGGATAGTCGGGAAGCTTCAGGATTATAGCTCGGGCAAAGGAAGAATAATACGCTAAAGTAGAAAATAAGAACACTACATTAAGTAACACATGTGAACGCTTTCTGACAAGAGCAGTGTTAGAGATGAAACAAACATTTCGTCAACCTATGTGACACCTATTTTTTGTTCTTTCAGAGCTGGAAGCGCATCCTAGTGGTCTGCCTCCTGGTGAGTCATGTGACGACATGCCTTGTTTATGCACAATCAGGCGCGAATCATGATGCACTGTTTGTGAGTGCGTAAACTTCCGCTAACATAACGCCAAGACACCCAGTATTACATCCCAAGAGAGAAAATTAGGTAATGCGTTTCCATTTGTGAGTTTCAGCAATTCATCGTGATCAGCACTAATTAAGTACCTCAACTATCTGCAGTCAGTCATTTTGACATAAAAAGAATGAAATCATAGCCTCCGAATGATTGCACAAATAGCTTTTGGTCTGCATTTATTTCGAGAAAAGCAAAATACTTTTGGCGTTGGTTCTAGAATGCAGCACATCGAGCTACCTGTCATACAACGTGGTGCTTTCACCAGAGTGACCCGCTTCAGATATACGCAGCGCACTGAGGTTTAGTCAAGGCAGATTCAACATGCAAGAGAGAGAGATAAAGATGCAAGGAAAGGCAGGGAGGTTAACCAGACGCACATCCGGTTTGCTACCCTGCACTGGGGAAGGGATAAATGTTCAATTAATGTAATGAGGTATATGTTGTGTTATGTTTTTATCACAAGTTGGCATAACAAGCATGGACAGGTTGCGCATACAAACGTAGCCAGCGCTGCTGAAAGGAATATTGCCTCAGAAATAACTACCTGTAGGAACAGCTCACCTGCGATCATTGTTCTCTGAGCAGGCGGTGGCATTGCTGGTGTCCTCCTTCCTGGGCGGCTACTTCCACGGTTTGCAAACAGGCAAGAGGACGAGGGACCAACAGGGAAATATTTCCGGTACGTTTCGACTGAAGTATACATTCGTTGCTATGACCCATAGCTAGCTTGTCATAGACCTGAAAGGAAAAGCGGTAGTGCCACGTAACTGAATTTCACGCGACTCAAAAAAAAAAATTGTACTCGGTGCAGAGCGCCATGGAATGCATCAAGTTTTCACTTGTTGTTAAGACCACGCCGCCGTCGTATCATCACTGATTATATATTCGCGAAGTTAACGCCCAGAAGTGAAGGCAGATGAAAAACAAATCGAAAAGCAGGGATTGCAACCAGATGCGCGACAGGTTTGCTACCCTGCACTGGGATAAAGGAGGGATTCAGGAATGGAAAGAAAGAATGTGGAGAAAGGTGCTATCAGGTTTGAACACGTATGCCTGTCCGTTACCCGCTAAGGCGACGGTACATGAAATACCTGAAAAGCGTGCTCCTTTGCAAGTACTGCCTTATTGCGGGAAAGCCACCTTTGACGTGCATAACTCATTTGCGACGAAAAAAATCCGTACACAAGTCTTCTAGAACTAGCCTCGAAGAAGACAAGTTCACTTGTAGAAACGTCAGCTCGAGCGCAAATGCCCTGTTTGCGGATTTTCTTTTCATCGCAAATTTCCGTCCTCCTTTTCCTGCCGTTTTTATTTATCATTTATTAGCGTTATATCACGGCCGTGTCAACTCCTGCACGCACGCGCAACCGAGAAATGCACTTGATGCATGACTAAAGTACGTCCTAATTGCATATTTATTATACGCCACATGCAACTGACATATAGAAGATGCCATGGTATTGAAATGTTTTATTTGGTAATTGATAAACCGTTTCGTGAAATTATTCTTGGTGAGTATTGAGGTGCTCGCATTCCAATGTTGTGTTATGCTGATCCCGTCTTCAATCAGGTCTTGCTGCGAAAGTACTGAGGCTTGATATAATTTGCATATAATTGAAATAGATTCAATGGCACGAATCATGCTGTTATCACAATGGCTGTTTCTTTTCTCGGTTTGATTGACAGGCGATCTTTTAGGTACTTGTTTCTTTCATACCATTAACACTACCCTTTTTATCTGTCTCCAATTCCCCCCCCCCCCCCCCCAAAAAAAGTCATCCTCATATATCTGTTTCGCACATCACGCTACGGTTAAATTTTCCTGGTAATGCACATCGCTCGAAATTTCCGCAGTCATGAAGCGAGCGAAAAGCTAGCTGTTTCGAGCAAACTATTGTAATAAAAATTTTTGAAGATGTTCTAAAACGATAATACCATGGACCTCTAGAGCTATTCAGAAAATGATTGCCTTACTCGGTGTGCCCAAGCATTCGATTCGGTTCTGACATTCCCTATTTGCAGACCCTTTCTAATAATAAATGCCTTGAAAGCTATTCACTAACACCCGATATTTCGTTTTTGTTTGTTTTCGTAACTTTCTGACGTCCCGTATTGTCGTCTGTCTCTTTTGCCAGAGGAACTGTTTGACTCGGAATGGCAGCGGCTGCCCTGCGTCACCGAAGACGATGTCTGTCCCGAAGGGTAAGTGCTTTTGTGGCCAGGGAAATTAACGTGAACTAAGTGCAGAAATCCTGGTGCTCTCTTCACTGCACGGAACAAGCCAGGGTCACTGCAGAGAACATTATCCATACTGAGCTTGCGAACTCTGCATCGTGAGTGCAGTCTGAATCGCAGACTGTCGCTGGACGACAGTTCACCCATTGTTGTTTACGTGCACCACGAGCAAATGACAGTTTGGCCACGTCGCGAATCACTGTCTCCCTGTAACACCACAGTGTGAAGACACGTCATTGATAATATTAATATCTTAGATTTTACGTCCCGAAACCACGATATGATTACGAGAGACGCCGTAGTGGAGGGTTCCGTAAATTTCGATCATCTGGTGTCTTTTAACGTGCACCGATATAGTACAGTGCACGGGCTTCTACCATTTCGATTGGCTCAATTGAAATGCAACCGCCGCGCGGCCGGCATCGAACCTGGAACCTTCGGGAGAGTAGCCGAGCCACTGATCCACCCCGGTGGACCACACTAGCGTTCTTTAGAGCAACAATCCGAAAATGTTGAAATTCCGTGCCAGTGCTCATTTGACCATCCTGTTTTAAAGCGAAGAGCCTTTTTTTAAACGTTAAGCTGTTATTTCGATTCTCAGAACTACGGCAAGTTCAGCTACTAAGAACTCGTCATAAAACGTAAAGCTTGTAAACAGAGACACAGGATAAAATTAGAAGACAACACAAGCGCCTACTGTAATCTGAAAGGGCGTACTTCGGCCGAAAAGAAAGCAGGTACAAAAGCAAATATGCGCAAGAACATTAGCTCCGCCAGTCAATCAAGTCCACATGGTGATCTACGCGAGACATTTACATTACGTTACATTACATTACATTACATTACATTACGTGACATTACGAGACATTCTACGCTGTTGAGACATTTCATTTCTTCTTTATGTAAGCTGATCGATGCCCGGCTCACCCGTGCGCCTCCATTACTGTTGATATGCGTCAACCATGGCACGTGATTATTAATACAGTCCGGTTATGGTACTGCCTATTAAGGGCGTGCTAAAACGGGCTCAAAAAAGAAGTCAATTTTTACGCCCAAAAACGCCCGAAATGCCTGAACAGTCGTCTATCACGTAGACCTCCACGCGTGCCCAGATTGATAGGTTCACCTATTTTCGTGCTTTTTTGACTGTGTGCATCTTCAGTTGGCAGTCGTCGTTTGTGATGTCCCGATCTCTTCCTTGTGCCCGTGTTTGCAGGTCCTGTCTCTTTCAGAATGGTGGCGGTGGTTGTGGCTAGAAGAAAAAAGAAAATGCGCCTAGTCTCTGCAGTCCGGGCACGCGCAGCGCCTTTTTGGAATGAATACTTACCAACCAGAGTTGGTAAAACCAGTGGCGCCACTGCGTCCCGAAACCCAAACACGCAATTTGCCGCTCCTGCGGGTTTAGCAGAATGTCGCGCCTTGCGGGAGCGGCAACGCAAAACACAAAACATTGCGTTTATTAGCTATTTTTTTTTATTAACAGGTGACGCGACAGTCTGCACACTCCCGCCATCTCAGCCAATGGTTTGTACGAATTTTTATACATGGAGCGTATGGCAAGTCTTACGATTGGATTACCCTGCTGCCAACTAGCTCAGCTCTGTGTCACCATAATACTGCGCATTTATCAAATTATGGCCTCAATTTCAACTCCCGACAATTTAGAGATGTATTAGACGACGAGCTTCCAGTTAGCAACCTCTTGTGCTCCGTTAGTCTCTGTCCTATGCTAGAAGCGGCCGCAGCCAAAAGGAACATTGTAAAGCACACTTTTACGGCAGTAAGTGAACTTGTTCGTGTATTTTATGAACCAAACATTAATGTCAGTTCCCCATTTACCTATCAATTCTGTCTGCTAATGCCGACCCGAAGGTCGCGGGATTGAATCCCGGCCGCATATCGATGGAAGCGAAGTGCCCAGTGTACTTTAGATTCAGGCGCACGTTACCCAGGTATCCCAGGAGCCCTCCACTGCGGCGTCTCTCATAATAATATCGTATTGTTGGGACGTTAAACCCCGACAAACATCATTTTAGGTGCGGCGACACTTATATAATATACCAACACGACCGCCACCTCTGCTTCGTTTTGACAGAAGAAGCGCGTTTTGTGCCGCGTTGTTGTCGCTCGTTGGCCTTACGTTCATTGAACTCTGACATGACGCACGCGCACGCGCGGAAGAACATAGCTTGAGAAAGGGGATATTCTGATATTAAAGTATAGTTGACCCGTTAACCCGGGCAGCCGACTTGTGGGTGCGTGTGTAAGAGGCATCGCGGTTAGACTGTCGTATTAAGAAAAACAAATCCTGCGTATATATACACCGAGCCTTCCTCTCTGGTGGTATTCATACGAAGCCGCCTCGGTGGAGAGTGGTTGCTATGCCAAGTAGGCTTAATGACGGCTCGCGTGACTCGCCTTATTAAGTCGTCAGAGCAGCGCGTAGCTTTTCTATTCTTACTATACTTCGCGAACTCTTCTATAGCCACGCTATACCGTATGCGATACGCCGAGGCCAACATTAAACAAGGCGTGTAAGTGAAGAAGGCTGCGTACGGTAATGCGGCGATTAAACCGATGTGCGAGGAACGGTCACGCAAGAGACTGTTTCAGTCAAGGCTCGTGAACTTCCACCCGACTCTGTGCTTATCATTCCTCGGCTTTTGCCGAAGAGGCGACATGTTGCGTCACTGAGACCACAGTCGGATAAGAGGCACGGCGAATGCAGTCGCGTGTTGCTGCAAAGGAACTCGCTTCTATTATGGGAACCTCACACACTTGGAGATACCTGTCCCACCATTTTTTCTGATGTCCCCACTTATTGCTATTGAAGTCAGTATATTCTCCTGCAGGTTATAGGGTAAGTTATGGGTTAGGTGAGAATGTACTAGTAGCCGTAAATTTCGCTATTACGTTATGGGTTAGGTGAGCCGTAAATTGCGCTATTGCCTAAAGTGTTTCACCCATATATTTACCCGATTTTACAACGTCATCACACGCCAAACATCGATCTAGCCAAGGAGGATGATAGATGCGCGTCATTTTCGTCGTTTCATTTCGCATATACCTTACAGGGAGCCCGCACCGCTTCAAACACGAGAGATTCTTCCCTTTCTCGCTTCACGGTATTTGCTCCTCGCCATTTTTTTTTTTATTCGTAAAACGTGTAAAATTTCAGTTTAGTCGCTAAGCCTATCAGAATATCGCGCTTTCAAGCTGCGTGCAGTTATCTACACATATACGCAGTGGAAAACGCACAAAAACGCAGTGAAATCGGTTGATCGCGCACGACATATCTAAAGTAGCGCTAGACAAGCCAGAACGGCAAAGCAGGGCACCAGACAATTCGCAACTGCAGTATTCCTCGTATGCGAACCAATCGAGAACTTATTTCCTCATGACGTCACGTGAACAAACTGCTGGCGTCACAAATTTTGTCCGAAAGGCGCGGGTAACGTTTTCGGAGCTTGTCTCATGTCGAGTGCGGCGTGCGTTGCAGGTACAGCGAGCCTCCGTTGATTCTGATCTCGCTGGACGGCTTCCGGGCCGACTACCTGTCTCGCGGCCTGAACCCGTCGCTGGAGCGACTAGCGCAGTGCGGCGTCAAGGCGCCCTTCATGCGCCCGGTGTTCCCGACCAAGACTTTCCCCAACCACTTCACCATAGTCACGGTGAGTGAGACTGCGCCGCACGCTACGCGAAGTCTTCCAAATAACGTTCAAGTATCGACAGCTTTCGTGAGCGAATGTACCAACGTTCTAGAATATAGCCCGACTGCATACTGAGGGCAATAAAATGCAAAAAAAAAAAACAAGGCAGCATGTTACAGTCTCTGTATAACACCGGAAGGGGGAAACGTGCTGCCGAGTTCGCAACGCATCAAGCTAAGCAATCGAAGAACAGATTTTTCCGAGGATATAACATGGACGCAGTGTGAGATGTACGCTTTAAACTACTTTGACGTTCGAATTATTACTATGTAGGTTAATAGCGCGAAAATTACACATACACAGAAAAAAAGCATACAAGACGTGGATGAGCGCTCATCCTTGCCTTTCTTCCTCGCGTATGTGGCTAATTACTTGTAGTAAGTTACTTTCCCCCATTAAGCCAGGGTCTGATTCTGCATACACAGGATACCTTGAAGCCCCGCCGCGGTGGTCTAGTGGCTAAGGTACTCGGCCGGTAACCCGCAGGTCGCGGGTTCGAATCCCGGCTGCGGCGGCTGCATTTCCGATGGAGGCGGAAATGTTGCAGGACCGTGTGCTCAGATTTGGGTGCACGTTAAAGAACCCCAGGTGGTCGAAATTTCAGGAGCCCTCCACTACGGCGTCTCTCATAATCATATGGCGGTTTTGGGACATTAAACCCCACAAATCAACCAATTGAAGTGGTATGCGAGTGATAATTGGCGAGCTGCCATCTCGTAATAAAAACACGCACTACGTGACGCCCAACATGCAAGAAAGTGTTCCACACTCGCCGCAACAGCAATAGGTGGCGCTGACTGACGTTTGTACGTTTAATGCACATAAATACCCTATAAAGTGAACGGGGAGATAACCGCCACCGTAGCTCAGGGGTAGAACGTCGGGCGCATTATTAGAAAGTCGCAGATTCGGTTCCTGCCTGTGGCAAGTCGTCTTTCCGTCCACTTTTCTTTCATCACATTTACCAGAGTCCTTCAAAAGCATTGAAGGACTCTGCTTTTAATAACAGCCTCTATAATTTCCTTCGCATTACTGTCTGTTATTTCTCATTATAATTGTGCCTAATAAAGGAAACGAGCTCTTAAATACACACTTTCCTTCATTTGTAGTAATAATGTTAGACCAACTATCCCGACGAGCAGCCCTCCAGGTCGTTCTCGCATGCATCGCTGTGCCCAGTTACAATCTTTCCGCACGTCACAGTGCGTTTCGGTATTTCCGGAAGCCCGTGACCATGTCATGTCACGGCGTCGCGATGATGTCACATATTTCCTATTTGTGACGTCATGCTGACGTCGCAACAAGCCATTTCATATTGTTATACGAGGTATCGCACACAGAGGCTGGAGTGCTGCGCGATATGCCGGCAGTCATTCGGCGGCACAGTTACTGGTAAATATTGTAAATATACTCGATTCTGCCTCTCTCGTGTATTCGTGATCCCCGCGACAATTCGGTGGAGCTGCGGAGTATAGAATAAGCGCTGTGCGACGGCGTGCGCAATGCCTCGTTACAGTATTGACACTCGGCTCGCCCGGAAGAGGTCGCGTCAGTTTTTGTGCCGTCCTATACCCAGTTTCGCTCTTCACCGGGCGACTGGGCAATCGAGGCTAACGCCTTAATATGCTCAGCGGCCGCCACCACGTCGACGTTCGGATCCAAGATGACTTCACATGCAGCCACACTAACGTGAACGAAGGTAGACCACGGTTCATTACAGGGAGGTCGTAAATATATACTCGTATACCACCCTGCCCCGGGGCCACGACTGCCCGTGCCGGTTCCGACGATCAGTTGCCGCGCATAACACTCGAACAATTCGGCTCTCCTGCCCTGCGCAGTGAAACGCGGGCAGATGCTCAACTGGGGCGGGACGTCCCGACCGGTGTCGGGTTATTAGTCCTTAGCGCATGTATTAGGCGGGCGCCCAGTCGTTGAACCTGTTATTAGACAAAGCGTACGATTACACACCGCGCGAGACTCCCTCACCCGTGCGTGACTTGAGCCAGGGAGGGCCGGATCAGACTGTTGTTTTCTTAATTTCTAATTAATTATACGGGACACTTCTCATCCCGCGTAACCAGTTTGGATACACTCCCCCGACCGACTGCCGGTCGCATTCTGTCGGTAGTGTGTGTACGCTCCGGAACTGCATCCAGGCTACACTGCAGTCGTTAACGCCGGGACATTGACGCCAACCTATAGGTTGTTTTTGCGTCGCTCCAGATACGCGGTTCCTGGTGCTGGGATAACAACGCGACGCTGGGCGGATATGTTGTTGCTTTTCGACGTGTTTGTTCCACACTAGACCAGACCGGGCGACTGGAATTGCTGGAGTGAAATCAATCGCCCAAATCGGCAACTGATCCTGTAACATTGCAGCGGTGCAATACGAACTTCAAAGTGTGCTGCTGGTACAGCAAACGCAGCTCTCATGTAGCCCTAAATGATCTTTGCGTAAATTGGTCTGTTACGTCATAACTTATTTGCTGTGGAGAGATAAAGGTAGCAACTCGACTACTCCATTGCTCAGTATCCTTTAGCACAAACAAAAGGATAGTTACCCTAATATATAAATATTGCAAAAAGAACAAGTAAAAGAAAGACAGGTAGCAAACTGAAAAAAATTAAGAAAATAACTTGTCAATAGACTATTCAATAGACTATTAACTGTACAATAGAACTCTCGCACGCACACATTTAAGTTTGAGTTGAATCCACAGTACCTGAAATAACACAGCACTCCATATTAATTTGCATAGCTTCATAAGTACACATGGCTGCTCAACGTAGCCACTTATCTAGTCACTGTCCTCTAAGAAGTATTTCAAGATGTTTGCCTCCAACTGAATATACTTTGCAGGACACCGTCGAATTTATTTTTGTAATGTAAAAGGTGCGCGTGTCCCAGCTTACTAGTCTGTTATCTAACGTTGTTATCTTTTATTTGCGTAGTTTGTAGCATTGAAGAAGAATGTGACCAACATTCGCACGTTATAGCTGACGCGCTGTCATCACTGGCCGTGTTCCCCGCGTTGTCTACCAAGGTTATGTCCGATTCGTTTGCAGGGTCTGTGGCCGGAATCGCACGGCATCGTGGACAACAAAATGTACGACCCCGAATTCAAGACGCTCTTCAGGATCGGAAACATCGAGTCCTACAACGGACGCTGGTGGGAAGCAGAACCTGTGAGTAGGAAAATTAATAAATTCAAGCGCGTTAAATGGCCGTAGGAGAGTATTTGACGGTACCATGTAAGATGAGTACGGACTACACTCTTCGTGACTGCTGATTAGGCAGTTTAACAGCAGCATTGCGTTACTACTCAAACGCCAACTGTATAACTGCAGCTAGAAAATGACGAATGCAGAGATAATAATTCATAAGATTCAATGTCCCGAACCCTCTATACGAATGCAAGACAACGATGCAGTGTGTTATACATTTCCAACTTGGTTGTCGTCATCTTGGTTCTGATTGCGTACGAGCCAACTTGTAGGACTCACGCAATCTTAAGTATTTGTAAATCGAGCGACCCGTTGCGTCATGTATTTGGGCAACTCTTGCCCCATCATGGTGAGCTTCCACGTTCACTTCGCGTCTTATGTGCACGGGTCACTGAAGTTTTCTAAAGTGCGGATAACTTTACAGGGGCAGGCTGTCGTATGCTGTCGTCGTCGCGTGGCGTAACGCAGGCAGAACCACATACAGTACCGCCATCTTGTTCTTGTTCACCGTAGCGCATACCCACAGTGGGGAATTGGACATCTGTCTTGTCTTGTCTTGTCGCCTAAAAGATCTTGGCTAATACCCACAAGGGGGATTGGCCACACCGTATACCTTATAATGGAATTTTTTTATACAACGCTTGCTAAAAAAAAGAGAAATTAGATCATCGCATATTGAGCACCAAAAAGAAGCCTTCTTTCTGTTGTTTTTCTGGTGCCTTGACGATGATATAAAGTGCGGACATTACCGTACTTTGGCTAGGAAAACACCACAACAAACACTACGTAAAAAAAAATTGAAAGTGGAACCAACCGAGAAATAGAAAGAGAGATAACGAAAGAAAAATATAACAGGAAGAAGAACAGAAACAAATATAAATAAATATAAAAAATTGGAGAAAGAAATGAAAAAAAGAGCAGGGGAGAAAGAACGAAGGCTGTCCAGCTCTACATTTCCCTTAGGCTTGGGGCTAGTAGGGCGAAGCTGCCCTGTTTACGTCGCGCGCAATTTGTCTGCCGGAAACAGAAAAGTATCTTCATCATAAACAGACACGTGCCCCTTTTTCGTCCGCTTTTCTTTCTTTTTTTTTCTTTTTTTCTGTCGTCTTTTCGCTTTTTCTGCATGCTTCTCGCCCACAATACGTGCGGCGATTTCTCCAGCGCAGGATGCTATAACACTGACGGACGAGACGCCAAGTTCAGAGAGCCTAGGGGCAAAACTTTTCTTCGCGAGATGAGATTAGAATCCGCGTATGCACAATATGAAGGCGAGGGTCTTAACCACTCGACTATCCAGGCAGGCTAGCAGAGCATAAAATGATGCCTTGTATAGCTACAGTATAGTAAAGGGGTGGGAAAGAGCAGTGGGGGGCAGGAGGAAGTAAGAGAGCAAATCATAGCATAGGAGGAAAGAGAGAGCGACAGAAAGGTATAAAAAGAAATAGGAAATGAAAAATAGCGAGTGAGCTGGAAAGAAAGAAATAAGAAAGGGAAGAAGACAGAAACAGAAATAGAGAAACAAACATATAGAATTAAATACACATAAAATACATACACCAGAAACGGATAGAATGTAGAAAAAAAAGAAGGAAACAGAGGGACAAATAAAGAGCAAGAACGCAAAACTTATCAAAAGAGAGACAGCCAGGATGGCCTATACGTACCCATCAGCACCGCTGTCCCTTTAGCGTTGCGCCTACAAGATGAGCCACGTTATTTTTCCCCCGCTTTGTACAGATTCAGTTGTTAAGGGTAATTCAGCGCAGTTTTATTTTTATTTAGTTTTTTTTATTTAATACTGTATGCCTTTCTCAGGCTCATACACTGATGGTGGGCGGGCAAATATACTCAGTCGCGTACAAACCAGGCAATATCGCACATAGCGAAAGAAAACAGAATCACAAGACACTGGTGAAAAGAAAATTGAACGATGAAAGCAATTGCACAAAATCATGGGCAGGTCACAAAACATCGTCGAGGTATCGGCAGGTGGTACAGTGATCAGTGTGTTCGGAAGCGCTCACAAACATCAAAAAAAAAAAAAAACAAAAGTTGCTTTTACTCTTCATAAAACAGGCTTTCTACATTCCGAACAAATGCATCTGCAGAGGTAAGATTAACGCATTCACGTGGCAGTTTGTTCCACTCTTCCACTGCTGATGGGAAGAATGAATATTTAAAAGTGTCACAGCGTGACATGAATGGTCTGATGCACTTATTATATGGTTGGTACGAAGGGAGTGATGGTTAGGCGGCTTTCTTTATCTATGTTTAAACCGTTGTGATACAAAAGACATAGAAACTTTAAGGAAGAGACACGGCGACGGGCTGCAGGGGTCGGTAAGCACGCCCGCCTGCGCAGCTCAGTGACACTGTCAGTGACACTGTGGCTTACAGCGCCGCCGTCATCACGCATTTGCTGTAGTATAACTGAACCATATACTCCGAAGCCTTATTAAAGAGGCCATGGCACAGTCACCAAATAATTTTCGGTTTTTAAGCGAAAACTACAAGTAAATGGTTTATTATGTTTATACATATAAAAAGTGGACTGTCAAAAATATTACAGTGCGAAACGAGCCCTACAAGAAACCGGCTTTAAATACCACTATTTTGCAATGGTGCCTGTGACGTCATGCCCTGCATCGAGCGGAGCCGTCGCCTTCCACCAGTTTCAGCCGCAGCAAACTACTCAATTTAGGTGCCAGCAGAAGAAAGCTAAAAAAATCCACAAAATCTCCATGACGTCAAGGATGAAGAGTGGGTGACGTTAGGTGCTACGTTAAAGTCGCCGACTTGAACAAAGGGTGGACGGCCCTGCAGTGCAGATGATCGCTTATTGTACTGTCATATACTTGTACGCGCAAAGTCGGTTTCTTCTTGTGTAGCGCCAACCAGGCCCGAAGCAGCTTCGGCTCTAATTTCGCGCGCAGCTGACCACGGAACAGTGTCGTTCACCGAAATGCACACGCTCGCGCTGCTAGCTGCTTGTTACGTCACGACTCTGTTGGGCAATACTGTCGCGAGTGTACCAGTGTTGCCCGACTTTGAGACTACTCACGTGATTATAAAACATTCAATAAAATGAATGAAGCGCACGACCAAATGCGCCATTTAACACGGGTTACGATCGCAATTTGGGTGTCATGACCGTTACGAGTGAGATGTGACGCAGATATGGCTGACAGCGGAGAAGCAAGGGAAGCGTGCCTCCACTTTCTTCTGGCCAGGCTCGGACGTGGAAATTAAGAACAGCCGGCCGAGCGAATTCTTCAAGTACAACGAGTGAGTCCGATCATTCATTCATTCATTCATTCATTCATTCATTCATTCATTCATTCATTCATTCATTCATTCATTCATTCATTCATTCATTCAAAGACTCGCTTGAACTCAAAAAATGTCCTTACCCTGTCATCATGGCTGAGACATATGTCACGGATAACGGGTGCGGGCTCGGGCGATGGACTACCAGAATGTCCAAACAGCACATTTATAAAGAAAAGGAACAAAATACTAAAGTATGCGCAAATGTACAAAATAAAACAGATAACCGTAGACTAATGAGACTAGATTGGTAACTAAACCATCCTGATTATAGTCTTAACTCTAGCCTTATATCTTCTGGTGGTTCGGGCCGGCTTACGTGATGCCGCTGACTTGGCTCGCTCGTTGCCGAAGTCTGGTCTGTCGTCGATCCTGATGGCCACTCCGCAACTCCATGCGTCGCCTGTGCGTGCTTGCCGACGTCACTGACGATACAGTATAGGTGCCTTTCGGCCAACCGTTACCGTCAAGCGCTTCACCCGGCGTGGCCTTCCATTGTTGACCGTGGCACTACGGGGATTGCCTTGGGTGACTCGCTTTCGGAAGAGGGCTTGCAGCCGGGAACACTCGTCCTTGCTAGGCGCTTTCGCGACCCCCGTCGATTTCGCCGGCAAGCTCGGGTCGCTTGCGTCTCGGGCAGCGGATCCAAACGTCCGTTGCTCCCGTCGCCGGTGCGTGCCGACCGAACCTTCCTTGGTGTATACCAAGGAGGATTAAAGAAAAATTGCTGGAGTGGGAAGCTCCTGCAATGCCTTGCCAGCAGAAGTGAAGCCACCTTTTGCCACAGCCAAGATGGCGGAAACATGCTCTTTTCTGATAGTGCCCACTTAATGATCAAGTGGCTTTGATACGTTATGTAAATGCTACGTTAGTTCTATATGAAAGGATAGTTGTTCCCGACGAAAGTAACACGCAGAAAGAAGTATGGATGACTGAATCTTCAAAGAACTTTGCCTCCAATTAGAGGCTCACTACGGAAAACTAGTAACTTTAAGACGCACTTGGAGCACTATGTGGCCCGAAAAAGTTCCCACATTAAACTCGTTGGGCGTGCGACGGAAACGCTTCGTTTTTAACCGCTGAACGGTGGTACTTTATCATGCCCCTAGTGAGATGGCCGCCACAACCGCCATCTTGCCAGAGGAACGGCTTCACTACTACGCAATCATTTCCACTCCAGCAATTTTTTTTAATCCTCCTTGGTGTATAGCTGACCTTGCTTGCTTGCTTGTGCCTATGTTTGGCTCGTAGCCCACCACGGGAAACTGGCCATTGAACCGGCGGTTATTATATTGAGTATAAGAGAATTTCAAATTTGGTTAAGGAAAATGAATAAACAGATATCTAGGTAATATGAAATATAACAATCCTAAAGTCACGTACGATTAAAGTACAAAGAAAACTGAAATAGAAATCAATAACAGAGTTTTAAAGAACTAGACTTCCATTAGGAATAACCTAACAAGAAAATTTTCTCGTGTCTTTAAGGAGTTTGCAGACTGCATTGCAGATGTTCCTGTTGCTGTGAGAAAAGAAGCCTCAAAGAAAAGAATGTTTTAGCAATTAAGAGTAACGCTTAATGACGCGAATAAAATTTCTAAATGTTTTTTTTCTATTGCTAGTGAAATGCCGGCACGTAAGTAAAAAAATTACCGATGTTTTCAGGCTCTTACAGTAATAGCAGAGCGGAGATGGAACCTGACCAGCCCTATGTGAATACAAATTAACAGGCGGGATGCGGCAACGAAATTTTGTGAAGCACACTTCCGATTCGCGAATGGGGCACCATTTATTATCTCAAGGAAAAGTAAGGTGACCGTGAACTTGTAACCTAATATTTCATAAAATTCTAAAGTAAATAACCTTCCGCCTCCGAGTTCCACGAGACCACCTCCTCTTCCTTCGCCGTCCTCGAGTTCTTTACAACATTATCCGAACACCCGTCCGTGCTGCTTTGTACATTCGCGGTCTTTCAATCTCACGGCTGTCACTCATGGCAACATAGCCTAATGAATTCACCAGACAATTAGGCTAGGCAAAGCAGAGGGAACTTATATTATTTTTTTTATCTGTAGTGTGGCAATACCGACGTAATTGTGGGTTTGGATCCCAACAACGAAAAGCGTGGTTTGTCGTCCGCTGTAAATAATTAAATTACATTATTTTTCCTACATTACACTGAAAGAAAATGATAGTGTACTATACTTTTCCTGGCCTAACTGTGTGCCAAATTCATTCAGTTGTGTCTAACATACAAACGAACCCATTGAAAAAAATTCCCCTCGTTTCGTTAAGCTGCATACGATGTCACTTTGCACACAGGGTGCCCCAAATAGGACGCAGCATGATGTAATAAAGAGGAATGGCGTTATGCGAAACGCACCTTCTGCATATTGTTCCCAGAATACTGCACTAGCCACTATTGATTGCGTTAATTATATTTAGCTAATTAGTCGAAATTAAGATTCCAGCTCAAGCATTATTAATATTATCATTAAAATGTCAATTAGGCATACTTAAGCATGCTTAGATGACATATATAACTGTGCGATTGTCATCAACGTATCAAACACGCGCTCATTTTTTCCGCCCGGTAAAGAGAGCACACGAAATAAACAATAATAATTAAAAAGAAACAAGATGTAAACACCGCAGCTCGCATCAAGAAGCAGCGCCCTCAAACAAAATCACTGTGAAGTTGCTGCAAGTCAAGAGTGTACACTCCCACCTTTTACGCGTGGGAGTGTAGTCCCACTGGATAAAATGAACACGCATATAGCACGTTGGTGAAAATAGCGGTGTCAGAAGTCATTTGCATAAACACACCTATGCTTCATTGACATGACTCGGTGAGTACTTACCGAATTAGAAACCTAATTAGGACTAATTAACTAAAGCTAATCAGGAGGGAAATGGTGGCGACTATTAAAGTACCCTGGGAACAAATATGATGTGCTTCGAGTAGCCACGTTTCTTATCACAATTACTTCATCGTTTAAAGCCAGTCACCCTCTACGAAAGGTACACACGTTACAAGCAAGTTTAAAAAAGATTTCACTGTGTACGTGTTTGAAGTACGCACTGCGACCAGGATGTCGCTATGGCGTTCAACTTCCCCCAGGTGAAGCTTCCCCTAATCTTGATACCCTGCATGATACCCTGCATGGTACCCTGCATGATACCCTGCATGATACCCTGCATGACACCCTGCATGACACCCTGCATGACACCCTGCATGATACCCTGCATGACACCCTGCATGATAGATACCCTGCATGATACCTTGCATGATACTCTGCGATGCCCAATACGATGCCCAATACGATGCCCAATACGATGCCCATTACGATGCCCATTACATTTTTTCATCCTCTCGTATAGGATGATCCCGTGGCAGACGCGCGTGGAGGTCCTGCTCGCGTGGCTCGACCTGCCCGCCGAGCGCCGTCCGTCCCTGCTGACGCTGTACGTGAACGAGCCGGACAGCGCGGGCCACGACCACGGCCCCCACTCCGCCGCCGTGGACGAGGCGCTCGAGCTCGTCGAGATCATGCTCGACCGACTGATGGCCGGCCTGCAGGAGAGGCGCCTGCTCGGATGCGTCAACCTGCTCGTCGTCTCGGACCACGGCGAGTGCATGCATACATACGCATGACTGAAATAGGTGTTCACCACCCCGATGCCGCCGTGGGTAGTGATCGCTACTTCTGGAAAGAACGTGTGTGCACAGTAGTCCGAGTTCCCCGTTTTTGTTCCCTCACTGTTTTCACCACTTCCCATTAACGAGCACTATATAGCAAGAAAGTGAAACAAAAAATGAATGAAAGGAGATAATTTGTTATGATTATTCATTACTTGAAAAGTCTAAAAGTTCATAGAAATAATTCTTAGCCAATCCCCTGAGTAGGAATGAGCTATAGATGAGGCATCATCATTGTCGTCATCATCGTCTGCGTTGGTCAGGTGGTGGTGCAGTTGCTTGCCTACTAACCTGTTCTATCAAGTTTCACAGTCGTAGAAATGGCCTTCGAATTTTTTTTATAGTGTGCAGGGTAGCAATTTAAGTGTTGCTCGATCATGTGCTCCTCCCACCCCCTTCTTTCTGTTCGTCGTCCTCTTAATCAGCCGTGATGGAATGTAGGCGTGGACATTTGGAAAACAGGCGAGTGGTGCACTACATCCTCTCTGTAGGAATGGCGAGCACCAGCTGCGACCAGGTCATCGCGCTGGAGCACTTCATCGACCCGGGCTCGGTGTACTCGCTGGTGGGTCCGACAGCCCGGCTGAGACCCAAGCAGCCGGGAGACGTGGCGCAGATTGTGGAATCGCTCCGCTGCCGTGACAGCCACCTCCTGGCCTACGCCAAGGAGAGGCTGCCCAAGCGGTATCACTACTCCGACCACCGTCGCATCGAGCCCGTCGTGCTCGACATGGACTCCGGCTACCTTGTGCTCAAGTAAGGCCAAGACTTGTAAGCTAGTTGATTCGATACACTCAATTAAGTTATTGAGTGTATCGAAAAAAGAAAGTCTGCGCTCGCCAAATGCTGCCTCCAGTCACGTATCGCAGTGCACGTGGCAGTCACTATTTCGTCGAAGTTTATTGTCTTCGTTCCCCCTCCCCCTATTTTTTTTTAATGGTACCATCCAACCATTGCTTAATGTCCATCGCAGTCACAGATAGCCTGTTCAAGCTACCTTCATGCGTGAGAAGCCTTCACTAATTCATTCAACTTACATTTGCGGGCACTCAAAGCAACGCGTGTTAGGCGATAATCACGTGGTATTTTTTTTTTTGAATTTCGCACACTCTAGACAAACCCTCGAAAAAAAATTAACCAGCATTGTTATCGTACCGTCTCTTGAAAATTTTGTTATTTCGGGATGAAAGCTACAAATCTTGTATTGAATTTTTTTCTATAGAGTCAGTATTTAAAAAGTTCATTAGGTAATCTTTGTTAATTACCGTGCTTGGCGGATAAAACAAAAACATTCTGACGTGCTACATACAGCTAAGAACAATATTGTGCTATCTGGAGACGCGTAGCACTGACTTTTAATTTTTTATTGCTTGGTGTTTTTTAGCTGTAACACCCTGTACAGACGATGTGCGAAAGCCCTGCAGGGTGGTCAATGCTCAAATGTCAGAAGATGACAAAGTCGAACATTTGCTGAAAGGTGTAGCCGAGGGTGTCTATAATTTACTCATTGGAGAAAAGAACTTGAGCTCGGTGTCTGACGTCATTCGGTATTGCCGAACTTTTGAACAGCTCAAAGTGCGCAGGATTGCTCCAAAGTTTGGCCGTCTCACAAACGTTACAATGGTCGCCAGCAACGACTAGACCTGTCTTCAACGATCCGGCAGATAGTTAGTGTCGTAAAGAACTTCTTCGCTATGGAGAACAGTCGCGTTCAGCAGTCAACCATTATTCGGTATATGCGTCACGTAGGCCGTGACTGGGCCGCCTTCCACGATCCCTTGGCAATCGGTGGTTAGTGCGGCAGCTACAGCGCAGCCCCTCAGCAAGTTAGGACAGCGCAGCCCCTCAGCCAAGGAGAACACCACGCTTTCCAGCTCATAGCCATGAGCCTCGGGCACCCTCGGCATCCGATCTATCACTATGATATACATGGAGATGCCATGTATATCATATAGTGATAGATCGTATTTCGACCTCAGTATCAGTATTTCACCAGTATTTCGACCTGTCCCAAGGACATATCTCGCGATTTCGCAGCCGTCGTGTAGCCCTACGATAAGGCTAACCACCACACTTTACACGACCGTCCGAACGACCTCACGACGACCCGCGAGCGACTGCACTATGGACCAACGGGTTCAATATGGCAGCGTCGTCGTCTTCCCTCGAGCTGCGGCTTGGGGCGGCCAGCATGTTCACTCATCTTAGTTGTATTTCCAGGTATGCACAACAATATGGCCCAACCCCGCCTCCCCCCATTAACCGAACGAAAACGGAAGATCTGACAATGCTTCACTTACTGTGTACAGAAAAAGTGAGACAGTTGCAGCTTTGAAGAAAACAAAACCGCTTGTCGAAACGTTTTTTTTTTTTCTGCAGCAACACCTCGTGTTTAGAGACTGTTTCTCAGAGTGATACACGTACGTAATTAATGCACTACAAATTACGATGCCGGATTTGAAAATAGTCCCATTCATATAGATGCTTGCCAGCATGACCGTGGCGTTCGTCATGTCCCGCGAAGTTTTAACCTTTTCTCACAGACTATAAACACGGGCTACTAATTTACTGTTCGTTGTTTTCACCGCATCGCAGCCGCGAAGCGGACAAGAACCCGGCGCTGTGCAACGGTGGTTCGCACGGCTACGACAACATGGCGCCCGGCATGCAGTCGCTGTTCGTCGCACATGGTCCGGCTTTCCGGCAGAACGTCACGGCAAGGCCGTTCAGGAGCATCGAGCTCTACGAACTCATGACGGGTCGGTGCATTTCACTCCTCGCAGTCGTGCGTTGTGAACAATCGACCGCAGAAGCTGCGCCCCTGTTTATCCGTTTCATTAATTATCGACTGCAATAAGACGACGGACAGAAACGATGTATGTCAGAAACCTTCATTTGCCACACTGGAATCCTAAAAAAAAATTAACGTGTTCCATAACGCCCACACACTATATACGCACCGTCGGATCCAGGGCTGTGCAGCGGCGCTCACGTGCTTCAATCGTCCGAATGGTGCCCGTACATTGAACTTACAACAAGTAAACTAATCAATTGAAAATGTAAACCATAAGATGTATACATTGTAGCGTAAGAAGGAAGGAAACTGGAGACAGAGGAAGGGAAAGGAGGTTCACCAGTTGGGAAAACCAGTGTGTTACCCTTTACTGTCGAAAGGGACGAGGAAGTTAAAAGGTTACATGTGTGAAGAGAGAGAGAGAGAGAGAACAGAAAACGCCACAGTGAGTCAATTATTTCAGGTACAGTCTAGCTAAGTACAGTAAAGTCAGTCTGTCCAAATCAGTCTTGGGCGGCGCACTATACGTCACTGCTATCTACAGTCGTTTGTCTAGGTCTGTTGTCAGTCAAAAAAATGCACCCACCTCTCCGAAGGAAATCGTAAGGAAATGCAAATGCATTTTTTACGCCGAGAGAGGGTAGCGTTGCCGTCAGACATTCGCCTTCTCAGACTTCTGCCATCACCTTGGAAAGTGCCCAGCCAGCGAACGGCCGAGAGTGAGGAGTGAGCTGACAGAGAGTTGGGCGCCAGCGTTCTCGGCTCGGTGTTGGCGTTTCCCAACGGCGTCTCGAACACACATTTTCGGATGTTCTTGAGAGGCGTTCAGCCAGCGAACGGTCGAGAGCACGGAGGAAGGAAAAAGGTAAGGAGAGGGCATGCCCAGCCGGCGCAGGGCGTAAAAAATGTGGCGGAAATGACATCATGGCGGCCATATTCACTAGGCACAATGGCGGCGTTGCTATGGTTACGTGTTGCGCAGTGAAGCTGGTCTAGCAGTGAGCGGCCGTGGCTGGCGGCGGAATGTGTGCCTCCCCAGGTCTCGTGCTGAGCCGTGGCGGACAATATCTGTGCTCTGCGCTGCGTTATTGGTTACGCAGTGTTCTCCTGGCAGCTACATTACTCTTAGCAACGTTTACAAATCCCTTTGTCCATCACGGGGTTTCAACAGTGTGTAGAACAAGTGCATATCCGTGTGTCGTGCGGCGGATGACGCGGATGAAGCAGTTAGTGTTGAGCGAAATTGCGTTGGGCACCATGACGAAGCTGAATGACGACGAACGCCTTGCAGGTCAGTGACGGTTGAGCAGTGCTCCTGCTTGTGACAACGGACGACGCTGTTGAGCCCAGCAAGACGCCGTGAGGACCATGTGCACATACGTAGTTTCGTGTTGTGTGTGTACAGTAACAACTTGCATGTGCGTATTAAAACACCTTTTCTGTTCCGCTTGGTACACTTTCCACCAGCATTGCATGTAATCTCAACGTAACAGCAACCACGTTCAACTGTCACTAGCACCGTGCTCAAAGTCACCACGGTCAGAGAACTGACGCAGGTGAGTTTCACGCGGAACACGGACACAGTGGCAGGACGCTGCGTCAGTCGCGTGGCGGAATGCAACCGTAGAAGGCGCACGACCGATCGTGTTGTCTGTACAGTTGCTGAATTAATGACGTGAAAGCACTCGCCGTTGTCAGTGCATCTAGCGCGCGTTTTCTCGTAGTTGCTTCGTTGTCGGCGAGCTGTTACTCTTTGTTATTACTCGGACGAAGCGATTTCGCTGAAGGTGTCCCGCTGGCTCTGAGTGATGAGCCCAGTTCCATTAGTTTCGGATCGTCACGACACACGCGCTGCGCAGCCCACGTGCTTTCCGAGCCGGAGAGGGAGTCGCGCCTTCTGCTTCGCATTCATATGTAAATAAGAGAGGAGAATTTGCCTACTCAATATGGCTGACTTCCGGCTTCATCGCGGCTTCACAACGAGTGACGTCAGGGCCTCTCCTTACCGTTTCCTTCCTCCGTGGTCGAGAGCATAGAGTTTCATACAATGAAACTCTATGGTCGAGAGTGAGATGCGAGCGAACGGGAGAATGGGGCGCAGGGTGGAGAGAGAGTGAACAGCGAGGGAAGGAGCGGCGAAGCACCTGCATTGCTCTCTCCTACACCCTCTCGCACCACATGCTCCAGTTGTTGGGGCGAGGATAAACACGTGAACCAGCTGCTGTTGAGATGGGAGAGGGAGTGAGAGCGGAGAGATAACACCTGCTGGCACGCGGACAACGCCGTATGTCTGACATAGCCTGACTAAGAAATGCATTCGCATTTAAAACGTTACAAATGTATTTATAACCTTCGTGCGAGGTGTCCTAACAGGGCGAAATTCCAGCACTGTTGCTACAGAGACATCATTCTGTGGTCAAAGCGAGCTAGAGCAATCGCAAAATTACTATTTTTGTACATTGTAGCGAGGACAGTCGCAATAGATGCGTTGCAATGTCTCGTCGATAACAGTCGTAGCGAACAGCGCTGTCAGCCAATAAAAAAATGACGTTTTGAAAGCCACTATAGACAGTTACAGCCTGAAAATAAATGTAAGCACCACCCGCAGCAATCACCGTCTCACCCAGGTGGAATTTGCACAAATGTCTTACTGAATTGCAGTTTGTTATTTGCGTGAAGTCGGGCAGATTTCACGGATTTCAGGCATATCACTTGCCCGTACATACTCGTGTTTATATCGCTTGTTTTCAGTAAAAAAATACGTCTTGGCAAATTTCATCGAAAATTTTTATTTCGCTGTTTTGAGATGGGTAACATTTTAACAAGGAACGACGAACATTTAATTTATAATATGCATATAGTATTTGCATTATCAGCGAAAATGTGCTTATGGGTAGATCGGAAATCACATATCATTGCTCTATTGCACAGATGAATGACAGGCATGCTGCAGTAGGAGCGTCCATTTATTCTTAGGTTGTAACCGACTACAGGTGCCATAACCTGCATGGCAGAGTGGCATGCCTTCGCAAGAGTCCAGTTGAAATTCCTAATGTAGTGTAAATATGGTAAAAGATCGAGAATTAGCTGATCCGGACAGTGGAGCACACGCGACAAAAGGAACACTGCGCGTTAAAGTACAACGCTTCTGCGGTGTGCTTGCGTGTCCGCAGAGCTCTTGGGTATCGAGCCCGAGCCCAACAACGGCACCCGCGGTGCGCTTCACTACCTGTTGCGGACGCCCAAGCCCCTTCCTGAGGAAGCCTCGCTTAGGACACCCGACATGTGCGTCGTCGACGGCAGCGAACTCGGCGAAGGAGACAAGGAGGACGGTTGCATGTGCAGAAACGTGAGTGCGTTCTCTACAACAACTTTCATTGCTCTGTGCAAACGCCGCGGTAGCGTAGCAGGTAAGGTACTAAGCTCCAAGTAACGGGTTCGATTCCTAGCCGCCGCGGTCGAACTTCGATGGAGGCGAAATTCTTAGAACACCAGCGTGCCTAAGTAAAACATATTGCTTCCTAAGCATGTTTTAACCTGCAGCTCAAAGCCTAATACATGCAAAAAACGCGGTTTTTAGGAATCAGTATAACACTAATGTGAAAGGTGTATTCGCATAGGTAGTCGGGCATTCATTGTGCATTGTTTCGCCACAAGGGCGAAGGAATGAGCGCATCAGTAAAAAATCGCAACGTGACACGAAGAGCGGCAAGCAGCTCGAAACTTTGCAGCGCACACCTCCAGCAGAAAACAGGCACGAGATGAGCATACACAAGACGAGCACGGACAAACTGTCACAATTCTTACTGCGTGTGTGAGCAGCGCGCTCCTTTCGTAAACGCGGCCGCGGCAGCGAGTGAATTGACGTTCGCGCTCTCTTTAACTTCTGTAACTTCAAAGCAAACTTGCGACGGAAGCTTAAGAGGTAAGAAGCACATAAATCGCGAGATGAGCGTCTGCACGAGCGAGCCACAACGCTAGAGAACATCTATACACACTTTGACCACGCCATGTGGAGACGCGCGCGCACAGCGACGCGCGGGGTGGCGTGGCACGGCACGACGACCTTCAGAGCACGCGCGCCCGTCGTGCCATCTCGGTACTGATTACTCAAACACGCTGAAGTATGCGAGCTCGGAGGACCGCCAGTGGTAGAAGGTGTATACAAATGGTTCGCCGTTAGCATGTTGTAGAAGGGTCGCTCTGTGGTGCAGTGGTTAACGTGGCGTGCTGAGGAGCGTGACGTTGCTGGCTCGACGCCCCACTGCGGAACTTTGGAACTTTTCCTTCTCGTTTCTTTTCTTTTCAATATGTTCGTAAATATTTTACAACGTCATATTCGCGACGGAAATGCGTCATGGAGCCGTGGCGGACCTCAGCATAACACACTTTCGAGTTAAAAAAAAATCACTATCTCTCACTAAAGGAAACAACATGCTGATGCGAAACACAACGCTTACACTGACGGTAGCGTTTACGCTAGCGCTCATCACGGCATTGCGCAGGAGAGAAACCTGGGGAGGCGCAAAGCACGCACTTGATGGACCGGTGTTTCCTACTGGAACATGCCAACAGCTGTTATTGGACAATGAGAGACAGAAGACTCCGATTGGACACATACCCACAGTCCGCTTCTAGTTGCGCGCACGCTGCGAATTTTTGTTGTTCAGAAGAGAAATTTCGCCCCGGTACTTTGGAGGTCAAGATACGGGTAGGCAGTGAACGGCTGTGCAGCGCGAGCACTCTTTTTTTTTTTTAATCGAGAAACTCGCTAACAGACGCGGCCTGCATCGGCGTTGCGAGGCGAGAGAGGGGAAGCGCATACGCCTTTTGTGTGTAAACGCCGCTGGGAGGGACGTCTAGAGGAGAGAGAGAGAGAGAAGCGAGTGTTCACGCTAGCACACGCTGCCTGCGTCGGCGTTACAAGGTGATAGAGACGGGTGCTGCAAGGCGAGAGAGGGGGAGGGCGTAGGAGAAAAGAGAGGGGAAAGGGCGCACATGCGCCGTAAGGGTGTCACGCCGCACACTGGATTGAGTTTGACCGTAAGATGCTTTACATCTAAAAGCTGGGGAAGGAGAGGGGGGAACAGGAAAGTTCTTTTTCCATGTTTCAAACTATCATCGGACACGAACTATCACAAGAACAATTTCTAGAGTGCCTCTATCGCAATGGTTACGGGCGATTCGTAGGCCGAGTGAGTGTTCGATACGCGTTCCGTGCCGATGCGTGTCAATTAAATAAACAAAAATGCTACAAGACTCCAATTTTTTTGTTTTAGATAGATAAAAATAATTTCTTATCCTCTATTTATCTACTGAACAGTGCACATAAGGGGACAACATAGGTTGACAACAAAATTAAATGAACTCTGTGCAATCCGCGAAGCGTACAGCAAGTGAGGTTGACTCCGCGTTGCCCAAATTTAAGGCCGTGTGGTTTGGCGCTCCGTAATATTCCCACGCAAATCGGTTTCAAATTATAGACGCCTTACTTCCAACCGTCGCAGTCAATTATACGCTTACGGTAATTATGAAGCCATAATAACGGTTCCCGCCTCTGTTTCTGTGATTATCAGTACGCGAGTGCAGAGCAACGTGCCGCTGTCCCTCCACCGTCGTTTTGCAGTGACATAGCCTGGAATTCTTATTCGGAGGGGAGAGGGTATAGGAATATGTAAGGCATAATACTTAAACTGCGCAGTTTAAATTTATGTAGTAAATTATGTATGCTTGTGCTTGCGTTCCTATGTGTTCGTGTGAAGAGGGGAAGTCTGAACCCCCTCTTCCCACTTCAGGTTACGCCAGTATGTACGCAGCTCGGAAACGTGATCTAGCAGAGGTTCCGCTTGAGCTAGTTGCTCAGACGTACTAACCATATCGTGTCGATGTGTTTGCTCTGTGCATGTTTTTAAGGAAAAAAAGCCTTACCTGTGTAGTCTAATAATACAAACATTACCGGATGACAAGTTGTGGCTCGAGGAGCGTGAGCTGCACTTTCACTTCGTCGTGACCGTGGTCGCGTGACATAACCTTGTCCTAGTCACAGAAGCCTTCCAAGATCTAGACAAGCCCGTTTCTTTGTTTTGCATGTACATGTGCATAAATAAACGTTACTACTACTACTACTACTACTACTACTACTACTACTACTACTACTACTACTACTACTACTACTACTACTACTACGATTATCATCATCATAAATGTTATTATTATTATCATCATCATAAATGTTATTATTATTATCATCATCATAAGTGTTATTATTATTATCATCATCATAAATGTTATTATTATTATCATCATCATAAATGTTATTATTATTATCATCATTATAAATGTTATTATTATTATCATCATCATAAATGTTATTATTATTATCATCATCATAAATGTTATTATTATTATCATCATCATAATGTTATTATTATCATCATCATATATGTTATTATTATTATCATCATCATAAATGTTATTATTATTATTATTATTATCATCATCATCATAACATTTATGATGATGATAATCACAATATTAATAATAAACATCCGTGCAATCACGCTGCAGCTAATAAAGTACCATGTGCTGTCGTTGACTTGTCTGTCAGTTTTATCCAAAGATACAAGCTTATTCCCTTTCCTCCGTATACAGGAATACATGTTCTTCTTTTGCCCTCTTCATTTTGCAACATGCTTAGTTGGTCTAGCATGTTGTGTAGTTATGCTACAGCTTATCCAGCAATATAAAGCAATAAAACTGCTGCATCTTTTCAATAGTCCACGCTACACATTAATTAACGAGTATCTGTCCCACTATAAACTGAAACCCACAATGAATAGCCACAAACTGAACCCCGCACTGCTCCAACTACGTAGTAACCTATTCAAATTCAGCTTCTTTCCACAAACAATTCTGAAATGGAATGTATTGCCTGGTTCAACTAGATAGTTGCCTTTACACTACTTCTCGCGTGAATGTTTTGATTCGCGCTTTGCCTCTTAAGAGTTGTGTTCTGTTTTTTTTTTTCTCTTTACCTTCCATTCCTGCATTGCCTTTCTGTTGCCTGATGATGTAAAGAAAGCCCCGAGATAGCCCAAAGCGGATTGCATTATGTAAAAAAAAAGTATTCCCTCCGCAGACCGTGCGCCCTTCGACAGCGCCGGACGCCTTGCCGCGGCACGCGCCCTGGGGACTTCCTTCCCAGGAAGGCACCGAGGCCGAGTCGGACACGTCGCCCTGCGTGCTTGCAAACAGAGACTACGTGACGGCCTTCGACAGGACGCTCAGGCTGCCACTCTGGACTGCATTCACGCTCAACGGAAAGGTACGCGGGCCCATGTCGCCAATCTTGTGAGAACGAGTCATTATGCCGTGTACTTAGAGGAGGTGCATCCATAAGGTGCATCTATGGAGGGAGAGAGACAAAACTTTATTTTTTGTACTTGCTGGGGTCAAGGGAGGCGAGGGCCGGAAGGCTAGCCCTACCGGAGCGTCCCGCCCCCATGCGGCGGCCAGACCTTTGGTCTTGGCGGCTTCTTCGGCCAGCCGGACTGCCCAAAGTTGGTCATCCGGGCATGCGCTGAGCAACGCGGCCTCCCACTGGTCGGGCGTGGTTACCCTGAATGTAGGAATGGTGCTGTGTTTTATGGTGTGTCGTTTATAACGTGGTCGAGGTTGGCGATATCCACACGGCAAGCTTTTGCATTGTGCCATGGTGTATAAACGTCTGGGTATATGCGACCATACAGCGCGGGTGTGGAAACGTTCGTGTTTGTAATAGTCGTCGTGCTGACGGCTGGTGCTTATTTGGTGACTCGTCAGAATGTGAATACTTCGGCCTCGTCCTACGGTAACGCATAAGAATTTCACTATACGTCACCCCTCTGTCTTTCCCGAGGCCACACCATGGAGGACTCGACTTCCTCATCATCATCCTGCTGGGATTGGAGGGAGGGTATACCTGGTTTGATGACGGGTGACTAACTATTCATCTGTGGAATGTATCCGTGAAGACAAATTACGGAGACTAGCTGTTCATCTATATAACGCGCATATGTGCAGAACAAGTGTTGGTATGATAAGGTACAAATATATAGGAACATACTGCAGCGTTAAACGTGGTGTTGTTAGTCCCAATATAGATAAGTGTTGTGGCAGCCCCTCCAGAAGGACGAACTACGCTCCCTTGTGGCTTCGTTTTGTATTGATGCAGCACTGCTTTTTAGGTCTTTTTGGCAGCTGCTGGCCTTAGTAAGAGTGAAATTTCGGTGTGCGTGCGTCATTATATGTTAGTACATAGCAATTCATTTCTGCGTTTATCTTCCTACAAATAACGTGCCACCAGAAAGACTCCGAGTGTCGTCCGTCAGCCAAGTTTAACCGTATAGTCAGCCTTTCTGTCTTCTTTGTCCACACATATACCTATTCCACGTTTGTAAACAGCGGCAGGCGCCTTCGACATGCTGAGGTACTTGTAGCGACGTCACGGTGTGCAGGCCCCGCCCATCCCAAAGCTCGCCATCGCCGTCTATGATCACGTGGCAACTGGCACAGCCGTTGCAAAGCGCGCTGAGCTCGGAAGCAGCTGTTGTGCCAGATGCCACGTGATCATAGACGGCGATGGCGAGCTTTGGGATGGGCGGGGCCTGCACACCGTGACGTCGCTACAAGTACCTCAGCATGTCGAAGGCGCCTGCCGCTGTTTACAAACATATAGGTATATGCGCAGATGAAAACTGCCACTCTGCTCAGAGGCCTTCATATATGTTTGCCTTAAAAGGGTTACATGTACAATTTTGGAATGTACACACCATTTGGAATGTACATCCCATCGATGCGTGCGGGACATGCGCAGCACGAGCACGCCATCGCGAACGCTTGCTGGGAGCGTGACGCGCGACTGAAGGGCGCCGACCTGAGCTGCCACGATTTCGAGGCCCTGGCCACGATGTCACTCACCAAGGAGCCACTCTTCCCGCCAGGTAAGGGACTCTTCCAGTTCATAAATTACGGAGTACGTTGGACGTGCATGGCGCTGCGATTCCGGCGCTCGGCTGCCGAGTCGAAATTCACGGGTTCGGTCTCGGCCCCGGTGCTCGCATTTAGACGGGGGCGAAATGTTAGGCCCGCGTACCGGTACCGGCCATGCAGGTGCACGCTGCAGAACACCAGATGGTCGAAGCTTAGGAAGCCCTCCTCTATGACGTCCCTCACAAGTCATATCGTGCTTTTGGTACGTAAAACCTTTACCGAGTTTTACTCCAGTGTCTTTCGCGGAGTTAGGTACGAAAATTAACGCCGTGCTTCGTATAGAAGTTCTACGCTCGCGTTGTGTGAGAAGCGGAGCGTCTTTCTATGCGGTACGTCACGTTATGTATATCCGACGTTTTTGCCCGGTCCCGCGGCTGAAGTACAAAGAGAGAGAGAATCAACGTGTGCTTTTTGTACAGTTCTCTGGCCGTTCTCATCAAATTGCACGAATAGAAGTATGGAGGTAAAAGTGTATATGCAGGAGGTCCGTCTTCAAGCATTTTCCCAGGTACAAGGGGACGTGGAAGGGACACACAAACTGGCGCTCAGATCTGCGCAACCTGGTCACAAAAAGACATTCGAACAGTGCACATGACACAACTTATGATTACATGCTCAACGAACAGCAGATAAGAGCGAACTTCCTTTCTCAATCAAGACAACCGATGGGTGGCTAACACTTTTCTTTCAGCTTGTCAATATGATAGGCTTCCATTATTTTGGTTTCGATGCCGATATTCCAAGGTAGCGTTATTAAAACAAGCGATCATGCGCACTGATTGCAAAAAACAAGAGCAGGAGGAGTATGACATTAATTTCAAGTCTGTCGGTCCAATGCCGCCAATTTCCCACAGGGTGGGTGTCCTTCCAAGCGACTATGAACTTCGTTTTGCCGAGCACCAGGCCAGAATCGCGCTTGTACCCATTTAACCAGTAGGTGACTTGCGGCAGATATCTGCCTCCCACAACAGCGGCATACGCTCAACTATTTTCACCAAGGCTGTGGTGGGTTAAGAGGGGCCTTCGCAGGACCTCATGGGGCTACCTTTCGAGATGAGCACCGAAAAACAACAGAGTGCCAGGTCGGTGTACTCCTCTACCCATTGACAAAAACCAGTGGGTTCCCGGTCGGCACTGGGAATCGAACCCGCCATGCTCTAACGGTGTAGCCATCGCAGTGGTATAAACCAGTTGTTAGATTGCGCCTGTTTGTGTGTCTCTTCTGTGAATATGTTCCAAGAAGGCCGAATCGCAGTTTTGCTACAGAAGTACGTCTGGAGAGTGTGTGGCATGCCAAACGCAACCAGAAGTGTACTGTCACGCGGCTTCACTAATCTACACGGTCCACGGCCTCCTACACAGAGTGGGAATGTGGGCACAGCCTGTGGACATGAGTCGGACAGCAGTGTATATGCCACGAGGTCGCAGCCCCGAGAGAGATGTAAAGTTCGCGTGTTTTTCCAAACCAGCTGTATGAAAAGTGTGCACCTCTACGGGCCGCCCTATGCGCAGAGCTGGCCTCGTCCCGCGCCGAGCAGTCTGCGGTGTGGCTGCACTCGAACGCCCTGCCCTTCTACCACAACCACTCGGCTGGCGTGCGACGCGAGCTGCTGCGGCTTGTGCAGCTCTGGGAGGCACGCCACGGCTCGCTGCACCTGGTCACCGGGCCGGCCTTCGACCTGGACGGAAACGGACGCAGGCCGCCGCTGCACGCGCTCAGGTTTCGATACATTTCTATACTTTACTTATACGTCATGTATCAGCAGCGATGGCTCTTTAATCCACGCACCACGGTCAGCGGAGTTTAGCGCAGCTTCAAGGATTAACGTGCTACTTCAGCCGAGCAACGAGGTATTTCAATAGCGGTACACGCTGCGTTATAACCCAGCGGGGAATGACAGTAAAGTTTTCCATTTATCCCGTATTGACCTCCCTGGAATGTCATTGGAACGAAGAGGCTGCGAATACATAAGTATGCGTTCCATGGTTTCCGTAACGACACTTGGAGAATTAATTGTATAGCAATACGGAGAAGCCGTTAAACGCACAACAGATTTTTTTTTGTAGTTTTACAGTGTACATGCTAGGTATAAGAACGTGTATGTGGCTATGCTCGATATTTTAAACGCAATTGAGACGATAGTTGTGAGGACGACTGCGGAGACCGTCTGTGCAGTATGGTTACTGTTTGCAACAACTCTAGAGGCCTATACATAATTTCTGCGGCAACTGTATATGTTTTTTTTTGGTTGCGCCGATAGGACACAGCAATGGCGTATCCAAAGGGGTCGTCTTGTGGTCACCATCCCTCTCCCCTGATATCTCTATGTGTACATGTAGACGCACAAATACACGTGCGAGCAGGCACGAAGGGGAAAGTCGAACCCGCCTTACACTCTTGTTACTTGTCGCGCTGTGGGGTGTGGGTATGTGCCCCGGCGACTGTATACATTATGCTAACTTTATGCGACAGCTGTGCTGTCGTAATAACCAACATATTACATAAGACACCGTATGCTCTCGTGGAACATGGTGCTTAACCTTGAGACCACTGGCCCCCCACTCAAGAGGATATAGTGCTCGACTGCTGACCCGAAGGTCCAGGGATCGAATCCGGGGCATGGTGGTCAAGTTTCATCATCAGCCTGACTACGCCCACTGCTGGACAAAGGCTTCTCTTATTACGCGCCAACCAACTCTGTCTTGTGCTTTCTGCTGCCACGTTATCCATGCAAACCTCATCGGCCCACTTAACTTTCTGTCCCCCCTCCTCGTGCGTTTGCCTACTCTGTCGATTATCCTTATTGACCAGCGGTTGTCCTGCCTACGCGCCAAATTCGATGGAGGCGACATGCTTGATGCCCGCGTGCCTATGGATTTAGGTGCAGGCTAAAGAACCCCAGGTGGTATAACTTTGCGTAGCCCTCAACTACGTCGTTTTTCATAACCAAAAATGGTTGCGAGACGTAAAACCCTACAACGGGTGCGATGCTGCGCACATTTCAGTAGGTTTATTTGTAGCTCACATTCACGACACGAGAAAATAACGGCACATATAGGCACACAGGGCGTTAACTTCCAACATAGTTTGCTCACAGAAAGCAGGTAAAACTCCAACATTTATTATTATTAACGTTATGACGGACAGCCGCACGATTTTCAGAGGGAAGTAGTCCTAGAATGCGTGCACATTAAAATACGCCAATCGTCGTGCAGGGCTGTCGCGGAGGCGGGTGGCATACCTCCGGTGCCGACGCACGTGTTCTGCGTGGTGACGCGGTGCCTGTCCCAGGGTGTGCCGGTGGACCGGTGCCCGGCCGAGAAGCTGGACGCGGCCGCCTTCTTGCTGCCGCACCTCCCGCGCCCCGAGAACTGCCAGCCGTGGCCGCAGTACCTGCTCCAGCACTCGGCCACCGTGGGCGACGTCGAGCTGCTCACCGGACTGCGCTTCTACCGCGCTCTGCCGCGCTACGAACGCATACGGCTGCGAACGGCCATACCACAGGCGCTGTGGCCTGCACCCTGAGACTGGAGCCGGCTGTGGCCCGCGGAGCAACAGGGGGACCAGTTAGTTGGTTGTACATGATGGCGAGAACCAGGCCCGCAGCCAGGAGGTGTGAACCTCCCTCTCTTCCGTTAAGGAGGAGGAACAACGAGAGGGAAGGCAGGGAGGTCGAAGGGATATGGAAGAGCAGAACGCTTTTTTCGCGAATCAGTAAAGTGTCACTTCACAATCCAAAAAAACACCACTCTTACCGCGACAGGACACTTGGTGGCGAGCGAGGAAACACGCGAAAAGAAACTGAGGGTAGAGACGCCACCTTGAGATTCCCGCACTGTGACGCCATCAATTTTCGAAGCCGTCTACTGGTGTCTACGTAGCTTCTAATCGATAAAATTGAAGTACATTGTAATCCACGGGTGCCGTAAGCTTAGCATATACGAGGTCTTGGAAAATTCCATCGAGCCAATGTCGCGAAAATACGAAAAAAACACATCTTGAATTTAGTGACGCCACGCGCGGTGATTACGGCGTGAAATTAAAAAAAGTGAAACTTAACATTGATGTTCTCTGCCAATAATGAACTTATGACAGGGAGAAATATGACATTAGAGTTCTCAGAGTGCAGTTAATCAATCTAAAACAATTAATTGTTTCTCTTTAGTGTCCCTTTAACTGAGCATATAACCGGTTGGCTACCGTATACGCTGGGGGAATGGGAAAGGGGAGTACAAAGTTGAAAGGGAAGCCTCCCCTCCCACTTTGAAATTTTAAAGTAGTCAAAAATTTTCAGCACTTGCCTCCCTCCCCCCGGCAAAAAATCCCTGGCTACGGGCCTGGTGACAACAATGGACATGCGCAAGACCCTCCATCGGAGGGCGCCAAGGTCGTCTTAAGGCGGAGATCGCGCAAATTTGCGACCCGCCTTCATATTCTCGTTTACTTCTTGCCTTGTTATATACTAGAATATTATGGTGTCGATACTATGTATTTTATCATGTCTTTGTTATAATACTATACCAGTGCCTTTCGTCTCTCCAATTGTGATAACGCGGCTAACATACTTCGTCGTTGTGAACATAACAGTTTTCAGTGTAATCATACAGTATGAGTCGTTGTTTCTTGTTTTTTAACGCTCCTATATAATATGTGGCATCGTTGTTGTATAACAATTATACGGAAAACATACGGAGCTATTGGAATGGCGCATGGAACGTTTTGATAGGTTTGTGACGTTTTCAGGATATTTTTGTTGAAGTGAAGAAGTGTGGTCACAGCTGAAGACCCAATATGTATACGGGAGAGACAATGCTGTTCAGAAGTGTGATGCGGCTTAAATGTCTGTACTTTCTTGTTTCAAGAGTCGTGTTGATATTTGCTTCGGTTTATGTGTCACTGACATCGATCATCTGCTGCACTCCTTCGATGAACAAACAGTAAATGCACTTAGACATGGAATAACTCTATGTGTAGAGTACATGCTAAGAACATCTGTGAACAGCGGTAGGCGCTGTTGACATATCGAGGCGCTTGTAGCGACGTGGCGGGCCGTACGCTGCACCCAGCCCAAAGCTCGTCACTGCCCTCTATGAACGCGCAGGAGGCTCCTTTGACGCGCATGCTCGGAGGCAGCTTTACAGCTGCTGTGCCAGTTGTCACGTGATTGTAGAGGGCGGTGGCGAGCTTTGAGCTGGGTATACGGATAGGTCTATAATCGGATGGCCGCGGGATCGTGCACAGTTGTATACGATACCGCAGATGCGTTCTGGTATTGTGCACATTTGTGCACAAAACCAGAACACGTTCACTAGAACAAACTTCATAGAACACACCACACCAGGTCGGTTGCCCCACCAGAACACACCACACCAGTGCGGTGCTCCAACCAGTACTCATCCCACCAAAACGCACCACACCAGGCTGCTGTATTATCCACCAGGGCGCTCTGGTGTTAACACCAGTACACACCACAACATCTTGTGGGAAATCTCGTGAGATTTTCAGCTGTAACTTTGTGGCAGTCGTCGCTTCTGAAGCAACTTTTTATCTGGCCTCCGTTTACCTTATGGTACGTCTGACTGTGTCACATTTGTCTGCATTGTTCACGTGCCTTGATATGAGTGTTCATTGGGCGGCTTTCGAAAGACCACAGTTCGGAGCTGGTTGGGAGCTTATGCATTTTTTTATATCTTTGGAGTCACAGTGTTCAAATAAAGTTGCTTACACATTGATCAACACTTTTCAGATCTGTGTCTCATCTACGCAGCAAGTTACCTTGCGCTAGTGCATATGAAAAAGTTTTAGGACATTGGACCCTCGCATTATTATCAGTATTACTTTGTAATCCAGTTGGCGAACACAAGAAAGCAGGAAGGGTACAAAAGAACGCAAGAGCTAGAGTACTTGTCCGCTTGGTTGTCATCAGTTTTAAGGCTGTCTATTGTCATGCGTCCTGCGTCACCATAACATGAACACCCGCTTACAGTAAGTTAGAACACAGTCCCATGATCCAAAGGCAACGATAAAACTTTCTGTCGCTCTCTATGCTTTAGCGTTCAGGCGAAGTCCCAAATTTTTTGTTGCGATAGCGATCATTCACACTTGTGATGGAAATAAATTTCGTGTTCTATTGCGAAGTAAGCTCAAAATTAATGCCTCAATAACTTCCCTGAAGTTTCCTGAAGGGTGTTTTTGATTTGATGTCTGACTGATAATCTTGATGCCGAGATTGGATGTCGGATGTTTTGTGATTTCTCTTCTTCTTGTTCTTGTTTTTTTTCCCCGCAAGTGCCACCATTCACAATGCAATGTCAACTTGCCCAATTAACACCAGGATTCGGCATAGCGCATCCACGCCAAAAAAAAAAAACAACAACTAAAATAAGCGAAGAAAAGTGTACAGCAGCAAGGTGAATAATGACACCGATTGCCGTACCGTGCAAAAGCAGACTGGTCGCACTCGTGGTCCTTGGACTTGTTCTCTGCTTTTCAAGTCCAAGGACCACGAGTGCGACGAACAGCGTTCCTGTCTTCAGTCGCTCACGCCGTCGAAACGAGCGGAGGTTCCTAGAGCTGAAACGCGAATACAGCATCGTTGGTTAGCCGTGCCATTTGAAAGTTGCGGCCCGTAAACATCCTTGCCTCCCTCCATACATCATCCACTGTGACGTCCGCGTGCAAACTTGTGGATTCGACGGTCGATTGTAAGGCAGCAACAAATGGCTGTGCGGACAGAAAATAGTGTTCAGTGACTTAGAGTACGTAATAACCTACTATCGGAAAGCAGAAAGCCGTCACAGTTTTAAAATTGTCCCTGCAGCAATGACATGGACAAGTTCCATGCTGAACTGTCGTGTTTGGAAAAAGTAGTTGACAAATTAGAGTACTTGGTACTCTATTATGGGAGAGCATAACATTCTAATGAATTGAAAAAAAAGAACAATGACGGGGCAGCCATATTCATAAAATCTAGAGCCAGGCAACAGCACAACGACTGTGTTTCCTCAACGACGTCACAAAGCGATAAATCCGCAAAGCAGCTAGAAAAGTCGCGATGCAGTTCTCGCTGCTTTTGCTCGATGCAAAGAGACTTTATAATAAGTGTTAATTTTCTTTATAGAATTAGTCGTTGGCTTAATGTGGGTGTGTTTCATTCACGCATTGCGGCGCAACATGTGACGGACAAACATAGCGTCGGCTCTAGCGACACCCCGTGTTGACGAACTTGCTTCACAAGTTTTTTACGTAGTGCCGTCACATATGGAATAACGAGAGATACAAAAAGCAAAGAGAGCACTGCGCAAAAAAAAAAAAAAAATGGCAGCATATCCACGGAGTGAATGATGGAGAGTGGGGCGAAGCATCCGTCCGTCCATTCATTCTTGCTTCCGTCCGTCCATGCGTCCGTCTGTGTGACCGTCTATACGTCCATCAGCCCGTCCGTGCGTGCGTCTGTTCGTGCGTCCGTCCCTGCGTTCGTCCATGCAGCCGCCCCTGCGTCCGTTCATGCGTCCATCCATGCATCTGTCTATGTGTCCGTTAGTCCATCTATTCAACACTCCAAGTACCACCATCTCGCATCTTTTCATAATATTTTCCGCATATAGAAGCACCGCCATCCAGCGGACATTCCAAGGACTAAACGAGAAGTGGCACACGCACACTTTCTTACGGCTTGCGCTTCGCGTCTACTTCCCACCTTTAACCACCCCGAGTTCATGGTATATACTAGTTCACTGTACTCATGGCACTGCGGCCCAACGCTCGCTAAACCTTTCTAAAACCTAGGAGGTTACGCCCAACGAGTACAACGCAGCAACCTTTTCCTGTCAGGTAGCGCTCAATGTACATGCCAATGGCTGCTAATGGGGATGGCAACGTGCGCGTTAACTAAACGCCGAATGCACCAAATTCCCCCTTAGCTGCCATTGGCATGTACATTGAGCACTATTTTTTATTGTTCAACAACGCGCAGAAGAAATCTCTCACCGGCACTACCTTGGAGGTCAAAATTTTATACTTGTCACACACTACAACGGCTACGAGGGACGAACAAGTGCCGCTATAAGGAGCTTCGCCTCTAAAAAAAAAGGGGGAGGGGGGGGGATCACTTTGCACAAATGGTATTTCAGCTCCACTAGTGCGAATGCTGGTGAGGGGTGAAACATGTACCGTGCTCCAGTGTTCCCATCGAAAACCCGAGGCGCAAACGTGCACACCTACGGTAAGTCATCTATGTGAAACACCACATCCTGAAATATATCTGCGAAGTGACGGTGCGTTAGAAGACTGGTGGCGAGTAAAACAGTAAAGAGTGTTGATTTTGCAGTGTGAGACACCGGTGCAAAATTCATGGTTCGCCTCTCCTCAGTTTTCACGTTAGTTTATCTGAAACACCCTTCCGTACCTGCCCTTCGCCACATTTTTTCTTTTAGTTTATGCTTTGAAAGCGTTCTCGAAGTGGGCTCACACACGTGTCACAACATGGCGGTTGCGCGGAGTTGAGGAAGCCGAGCGAGCGAGCGTGTCGGCGTCTTGACAGCTCGTGACGCAACGCGAAGAAGCAGAGAAAGGTACCGTCGTCACAGCTCGACATTGTTGGCCCGCGCGGATTTGTATACGGGCGCCTGTCGCCTTCGTCGTCGACAATGGGGTCCCCGCCGAGGTTGAATGCCAGCGAAGGCGGCTAATGAAATCTCGAGCGGCGTGCCAAGCACACGCCTCTTATATACATCACGCTATGATATACCTACACGCTGGCCACTTACTGCGCCACGTACGCTGCCGCATACATGAGGCGGGCGATAAAGTGCGCGCGAGGGAGGGAAAAAGAATGCAGTGCATCAGCCGTTTTCTATGCGCCGGCCAACTGCGCAGTTTGCTCGGGAATTCCTGGCTGCCTGCTAACTACATATGCCGGCCTCCGCCGACCTTTCCCTGTCACCAACGCCCGACAAATAGCGTCGAAGTGCATTTTCTCGTCTATTGAGGCGAACGTTTAGATGTCTAACTAAAAGCGAAAACTGGCCGTCGGCGTCGGCACTATCAACACAAGAGACGCAAAAGATTACTGCGTGATGGCGTCACCATATTACGTCATCGTCACAACACGGATTGCCGAAATGAGTGACGTCATCACACGAGATCGTCGCTCGGGTGGACGATCACGACGGCAGTGCGAAACCACGATAGGTGCAGAAAGCTTTCGGTGGGGAGAGGGAAGGGGGACTGGGCGAATTCTGTGGGTTTTTTATTATTGTTATCAATTTACCTTTCCTTGGGATAGGTGATCAATACATGTTTATTGATGTGCATAGGTTGCGTGGTTCTTCACCAATCGCGTATTCTCACGCTTCACCCGGAAATCCCAAAGTTTCACGTTTGATAAGCTGGATTTGATAAGAAAACATCTGATTAAAGTGCGAAAAGAGCAGTAAATGTCATGCACCGTATTGCTTAAGAAGCGAGGGAGGGAAGTTTCACTAATTATTTTCGGAAATAAATGTTTTTGTGCGAATGAGGCCAGAAATCAAGGCAGTCAATTTGTTCCCATTTTCCTTAGTGTAGCGTGTTTGGACTTTCTGGAGAATAAAAGGGATCCTTTCCAGAGCATTACCACCCTTCGCGTCTGTGTGCGCATGCAGATGCTCTGCCTTTCAGTCGCGAAGTACAAACAACCAACCCAATAGCAGTTGGCAATGTTAAATCGGTCATTTTCTATCATTTGCTCAAAATACATACTTAAGTCCTGTCGCCATGATGATCTGCCTTATAAATGTGTGTGTATATGATAAGAGGCCAAGGACAAGGTGTCTGCTGCTGATTTACATGAGCAGGTATTGTCACAAGAACGCGCGA